GCGTAGAGGCAGCCAGCCGGGGGCTCTGGGAGGAGAAAGGGGTGATTGGGGGGGTGCCAGGGATAGAGCGCCCGACACCCACAGGTGCAGCCCAGGACAGGAGGGAAGGGAATCCCCAAGTTTCAGTCCAATCCATGGTCCAGGGCTGGGACAGCAGGGGCTGCGCATTGGGAGTGAGGAGCACTGGGGTGTGACGTTATTAATGTGAACTGGGACCGCAGAGATCATTGTTGCAACCAAAGTCCTGTAGTGGCACCAAATCTTGTATGAAGGGGGTCAAATGGGGTGTCTAAGACCAGGTTATGGTTTGCTGGTTATGACTATGCTGTCTGTATGTGTGTATCAGTTTTGTAGTTGAAGTTATGAATATTGGCTCTATACTGTCTGTATTTCAAACTTCTGCTGTGCTTCTGGGTGACACCCCAGACAGTTTGGCCCCAGCACTGCCTAGCCTGCTTGATGGCCCATTGAGGACCATCAGCTATACAACTGACCCATTGAGAGAAGGCAGATCCGCCTTGTCACTCAGCAAAGTATGCAGGGACCTGCCTATGGACAGAACTCTGAGGTTTTTTCTTGCCATGTGTTGGATGAATGTCTAGGGAACAAAGGGCTGGTCCACACTAACCCCCCACTTCGAACTAAGATACGCAACTTCAGCTACCGAATAACGTGAATAACGTAGCTGAAGTCCAAGTACCTTAGTTCGATCTTACTGCGGGTCCAGACGTGGCAGGGAGGCTTCCCCGTCGACTCCGCGTACTCCTCTCACCGAGCAGGAGTACCGGCGTCGACGGCGAGCACTTCCGGGATCGATCCGGGATCGATTGCTTACCGCCGGACCCGGGGGTAAGTATAGACCTACCCAAAGAAAGAGAGGCCACATGACAAGAGACTATAAAAAACTGCTGCATCTCCTCCATCTTGTCTTCAATCCTGCTTCTTACCTCTGGAGGAACTGTGCTACAAACTGAAGCTTTGAACAAAGGACTGAGGACCCATCCCAGCTGGGGATGTACTCCAGAGACTTGATTTGAACCTGCCGTTTATTCTATCACTGCTACAAGCCTGAACCAAGAACTTTGCCATTACTGTATGGAATTGATTCCATTTAACCAATTCTAACTCTCATCTCTATCTTTTTCCTTTTATGAATAAACCTTTAAATTTTAGATTCTAAAGGATTGGCAGTAGCGTGATTTGTGGGTAAGATCTGACTTGTATATTGGCCTGGGTCTGGGGCTTGGTCCTTTGGGATCAGGAGAACCTTTTTTTTCTTTTACTGGGGTATTGGTTTTCATAACCATTTGTCCCCATAACGAGGGCACTGGTGGTGATATTGGGAAACTGGAGTGTCTAAGGGAATGGCATGTGTGACTTGTGGTTACCCAGTGGGGTGAGACCGAAGTCCTCTCTGTTTGGCTGGTTTGGTGTGCAAAGAAACCCCAGCCTGGGGCTGTAACTGCCCTGCTCTGAGCAATTTGTCCTGAATTGATACTCTCAGTAGTGTCTCGCCAGAGGCAGCATCGTTACACGGGAGTTTGGGTCGGGCACCGGGGGTGGGGGACGGGGCTGGGGTCGCAGGGGGCTGTGGGTTGGGAGTGAGGGGCACTGGGGTGGGGAGCCCAGGGCTGGGGTAGCAGGCGGCTGTGGGTCAGGAATGAGGGGCACCGGGGTGGGGAGCCCAGGGCTGGGGTAGCAGGCGGCTGTGGGTCGGGAGTGAGGGGCACCGGGGTGGGGAGCCCAGGGCTGGGGTAGCAGTGGACTGTGGGTCGGGAGTGAGAGGCACCGGGGTGGGGAGCCCAGGGTTGGGGTAGCAGTGGGCTGTGGGTCGGGAGTGAGGGGCACCAGCAGAGCTCAGAGCTGGGCAGGCGGGAGGCCACAGGGATGGGCTCTCTGACCTTGGCCATGGTGGGGGCTGGTTTCAAGGCAGCAGAAAGTTTAGCCAGTGGGCTCAGTGCTGGGGGGCACCTCCCAGGAGCCCAGATGGGCCGGGCTCAGCTCGGCCCTGCCAGCGAACAGCCCCTCAGAACTTCCCAGCCCCTCCTCCCCCAGACAGATGGGGGGCTGCTGCGAAGGGGCCATGACCTCCCCCACACCACTCTCCCGGAGAGGAGGAAACAGCAGCGATCGGGCTCCTGCCTACCTGGGCACTGGGGGCAGCACCCGCCGGGCACCAGGATGGGCTCCGCGCAGAGCAGGGGGGGGCAGCGCCGTGACAGACACTGAACATTGCCGTTCTGCAGGGGAGAGATGCAGGTCAGAGCCAGCCAGGCACCGCCGGGGAGAGAACCCAGGAGTCCTGCCTTCCAGCCCCCACCCCACACCGTGCCCCAGCACAG